TGAAGCTGAAGTACAATAAAAATATCTAATACCCAGCAAATTTCTAACTTGTCACATTTCAAATAATAACCAGAAATATAAAACTACTCTTGAGTTGGGTAAATACCACAATTTTGCGGTGATAACTATGACATATAACAGCTGATTCATGACCTCACAGATCTTATAACCAAACTGATAACCACACTCGCTTGAACGGATCGGTAAATACCACTCCAAAATGGTAAATACCATTTTCATTTGGTTATTCGCTTGAATTTGATTATGGTATTGTACATTTTTGAAATCAGAAATAAAGACTCTTTTCATCAAATCCAATATGGTGTCCATAACAAAAAATAAAGTTGTTGCTGGAGGACAGGAAACAAAACGTCATTCATAAATTCTAATTATGCCATCACGCAGGGGAGTGAAAGTGGATATTAACATGCAATTTATTTTGAAATCCTATTTCAAATGAAGTCAGGAAAAAATATAAGTGATTTTGAGATAATTCTGGTATGCGAAATAAATGACTATCTGATAATTTCCTATGATATTCTGATTTTTTTGAATAACCACGGTTTGGCAACGTCAATGTATGACAACCATTCATGTTATATCGACAGTCTGTTGATTTAAATGTTTTTAGTTTTTTATGTTATATGGAATATATTTGTTTAATGATATAAGCACAATACATTATATTATATATTATATTATAACTTAGCTAGCTTTGGTTTGAATTTTATGCTAGATACAAATAATTGAGATATTTATAATAGAACGTAAGGAGTTTATTTCTTTTGTAAGCAGATAGATAAAAATGTTGACACTCGATTTTCGGGCGAAAAGAATCGACTACATGTTGTGCCATCGGAAGCTCGCGTGGTTGATCACGTCATTAACCAGGTAAATCGGTTCAGCCATTGGAAGCGCGTCACTTAAGTTGAGTTCCCAGAATGCGAGCGTGCATGTGCTACTTGAATTTCAGGAAAACATTCGCAGTAATCGCCTTAATGGACCTCACTGGAGATGTCCATTGATTATTTGTCGTGGTACAAGTTTTATTATTTGCTGTTCTACTGATAAATAAAGTATTCAATGGACAAAAGTTAGTCTTCTAGTCTTTTCATAATCATAATCAAATCGACCATGATGAATCTGCACTAGAGTCTGATGACTTAGGGTGCAGTCGTGGCCATCGAATTTGAACATGTTCGAAGGAAATAAAGCCTAAATGTTTTCATTGCATTGCATGTCACCAAAATTGCTCAGTTTTAGTGTATACTTGACACATTTGAGTACCACTGTCGGCCAAAGTGGCAACGCTATATTAAAATAATAATAATACTTACCGGTAGAAAGATCCACCTTCATTAGTCTTGTACTGCTCTTTGTTAATTATCATGTCCCGAAGTCGTCTAACACAACAATTATCTGTAAACACTTTCAAAAAATAGCACCCAAATGCGGATTTAAAAGAACTGTCAGAAAATTAACGTGTGTTAAATCCACACAGACAGATTTTGGAGTCAAACAAATCGTAGGCTTACTCCTTCTATGTAGTTTGAATTCGTTGGTCAGGGCAAACGATGTAATGAGGCGAACACCATTTATGATAGATAAGATCATTCAACGCGTGTAAAATGTAGTCGAACAAGTTGGAACAGGAAAATCAGTCATCATAAACATACATGCAATGCACATTGCACACACATGAACACAGTGAACTCACTAGTAGTAAATGTCACGAATATAATGTAACAGGTTAGTCGCGATTGCATCAATTAGTGAAACGTAACTAACTATTGATTAACTAGCTAAGACGATCACGATGAAATTAGCTAATTCCGATGCCAGTGGTATCATATCAGGATAGACAGGAATTCAAGCGGAGATTCCGATACTAACTTAAAGTTCATGTTATTAAATATTTGGTGCGGTGAGAGCTGAGTAACGAAAACCGTTAATCACACAAAATTTTAATTTATCGGGTGGCAGAGATTTGAGAAAAAGGATGTGAGGTATTTACTATCTTACGCTGGGAAGATTTCTCAAGATCGGTGCGCACTAAGGTCAATTTACTTGATCAATTTGACACTCTAGCAGTATATTTAATATTTGGAAACTGATCAGAAGGTATTCAAAACATATGCCCTTATCACCTTTAAGCACTGTGCCAGATATTTCGTTGAGACTGGAGATGTTCAAGTAAAAAACTGAAACTCGTTTGAGGTTATGTGGAGTTGAACTACGTGGCTACGAAATGGAAAAACTGATCATCAAGAAAAAGAATACCCATTTATTAACTCTCTAAGATTTATTGGGTTGTCCAGTTGAGTTATTCTGTCAGCCAAATGAGTAACTGTCAGAGATGAAATTGCACCGATACTGATTTTGAGAGCTGAATGAAACACCTACCAATGCGACAGGCGAGGGAGTTGGACAGTCGTTAACGTTAAAGATGAGATTCGAGGAAAACTACCAAAAAAACCTCTCTCGGATGTAATTGACTTGATGTTTTTAATCTCTGTTACAGTAACTGCTAAATTGTTTGTTAGAACATGCACAGATGTGTATTCATCTCTCCATGTTACAACAAGCCATATGAGTGAAATGTATTGCGCACTTGCTATCAATGAGCCAACGTAAAGCGGTGCAGCGCATATATGCTGATTAGCGATAGTCGTATATTAGACGAAAATGCCCCGGTATGCGAAATAATTGTAAAGTCTGGTTTTATTGCTGCAAGTTTTTCCAGGGGGTATTCAAATCATGGACGCCTGAAATGGGTACACCAATTTTTGGTGGACAACAAAGAATGAGAAAGCGTGTTTTTTTGGGACTCAATCTAGTGTTGGCAGAAACGAAATAACCCTTCATATAAGATTTTTAGGTATTTACACGTATAAAGATCCGACTAATAGCAAAAAACTGATGTCCGAAAACCAACTACAGACTTTGGCACTTGTTGGTAATGCGACGATGGTTTCTCGCAGATATTTGAAATTATCCAAATTCGTAGGATTAGTACTTAAATAACCACAACAAAATTGGAGTAGATTGGTCAAGTAGTTTTTGAGAATGTCTAATTGTTTATCCCAAAACACCTGTTTTCCGGCCATCACTACTAGTTTATTGAGCGATATACAGGGTTAGTTCAAAGGACATTTTATAGCAAAAAACATTAGTTTACCTGGCCGATATGAATCGCAAACCATTCCGGAAGATAGATGTTATTTTTATGCAAAAAAGAACGGGTTACGTACAATTTCAAATATTTCGTATTTGTGAGTAATTCGCAACAAAACATGATAGACACATCCGCTTTGTTTTAAAATGTGTATAGTATGTATGATCTTCGAATATCGTAGCGCATTTGTTTAATTACTCACAAATACGAAATGTCTGAACTTGTTTAGAAGAAAAAAAAAACGTAACCTTTGTTTTTCGCATAAAAATAATATTTATTTTTCGGGATTTGGGTTTGCGATTCATATCGGCAAGGTAAGCACGTGTATTTTGCTATTAAACGCTCTTTGAACGAACCCTGTATAGTGTTCAATAAACTAGTAGTGATGGCCGGAAGACAGGTGTTTTAGAATAAACAATTAGAAATTCTCAAAAAACTACTTGACAAATATAATCCAATTTTGTTGTTAATTAGGAGTATGAATCCTACAGATTTGAAGAATTTCAAGTAGTTGTGTGAAATTATCGTCGCATTATCAACAAGTGCCAAGATCTGCATTTTGCCGCGTTTTTCGGCCATAACATTTTTGGTATTAGTCGGATCTTTTTACGTGTGACCTTATTTTGTAGATCTCATAAATACCTAAAACTCTTATACAAAAAGTTTTTTCGTACCTGTCAACACTTTCGATTGAATCCCAAAAAACACGTTTTCTCATTCTTTGCTGTCAAATAAAAAGTTTTCCCACACAAATCGGTGTACCCATTTTATGTTTTTATGTGTCTATGTTTTAAATACCCCCTTGAACAATTTGCACCAATAAAACCACAATTCGCAATTATTTCGGGGAAATTTGCTAATATGTTTAAACTATACTATGAAATAAAACAGCCAAGTGAGAATTGTTAAAGTGAGAGAGCTATCCTATGGATACTGCCAATCAGCATGCAAGCGCTGCACCACAAGATCGCTGTATGTTGTTTGAACCCGCTCAATGTACGAAGTTATTATTATTATTATTATTATGATAATTGAGATGAGCAGAGTACATAGTACTATAAGCTCATGCAGTACATATAGTGTACGGACACGTAACACAAATACATCAAATAGAAAAAAATAAAAAAAGACAGTTCAAAGCTATAAAGTTTGTACACTCCTCCAGCTATCATACTGCACTTTGAAGCTATTAACTGAAGTAGCACCAACCACACTTTCAGGTAAACTATTCCAGGTGTTAAATATGCGGTTGGGAAGAAACCACTGTCGGACTTTTGTTTTAAATGGCTCCTTATGCAGTTTGAAGCTGTGTCCGCGTAGATTGCTGCGCGACAGACGGTATAGATGCATGAGGTTGGTGCCCATCAAACCATGAAGTATCCTGAACGTAACTATAAGATCGCCACGAAGTCTTCGCTCAGAGAATGAGGTCAGGTTGAATAATTCAAGGCGATCTTCATAGCTTGGTCTTCGTGCTCCAAAAGGGATACGAGTAGCCCGACGCTGTACTGATTCGACGAGATTTCTATCGCGCAGAAGCACAGTGTCCCATACCGGGCCAGCGAATTCAAGAATTGGCCTCACGAATGCCTTGTAAATGTAGGCGCAAGTGTGACATCGGATCCTTTGAAAGACCTCTCCAGCATGTATAGAAGTTTCTTGGCTTTTGATGTAACGTGGTGAATATGTTCATTGTGAATGATAGGCAATCACCTTCAATGCCGACGCCGTCTTTTGTTTGAGCACCAGTTTAAGTGTTCTAGGGTACCTGTACACCACCATGTGCTTCACAGATACTTACCTTATGGCCTTACTATATATGTTCATCGTTTATTTATTTTGATACTTCATGGTTCTACACAGCATCTAAGAACATGTCAGAAGAATTACAGGATTCAATATAATTGCATGTTATCGATTTTAAAATGTTAATAATACGACATTGGCATCCTTTGGGACCCAATTTTTCTCAACTCTTCATTTTCTGGAACACATCTATCAGCACTGAATGGGTAGGAATAAAAGTCATTCATCGTTCACAATTTATTGTCAATGGCCAATTCCACTATGTTTCTTGATCCAATCCAGGTAAGCCGAGACTTTGGAGTACACTCCAGGCAAGTTTGGCTCTGCACATCCTAAGCCCCAAGCTGTCACTCCCGTAAGCTTTCCACCTACCACGATTGGACCTCCAGAATCTCCCCCGCATGCATCTATGCCTCCTTCTGGGTAACCTGCGCAAAACATCCTCTCTGTTACGTACTTGTACCTCTCCAGGTACCATTCTGCACAGCTCGTTTGGTTCAGGACGCGTACTTTGGCTTCTTGTAGGATGTCATGAGCTAGAAGATCAGTTTAGCATCATCAGGATATCGGTATATCGAAACAAAGTGCAAAGTACAAATCCGTGCCAGTTGAACAGATTTGTACCACAAGACTTATATTGTGAAAATCGCATGAGCATGGGCCAGCGTCTCCAGAGATTCTATCCCAATAAGTCACAGTCGTCATTGACATAATTCTTACCTTCTATATCAATCTCCCGAATTTTTCCCCATCCAGTTATTGTAGCATTGTCGTTTAGTTTTGCACCAATGGTATCCAGCTCAATTGGTTTGCAGTTAACACATTCCAGTGGCTCAGACAGTTGTATGAGAGCAATGTCATAGTCCTCCAAAGGATATTTGAATATCTCATGAGAAATTGTTTTATTTACGGATGCCATTACCCCTGAATTGATTAGAGTTGAGTTTGCGAATACTGTGATTTGATTAACTTCTATTCTGAAAGAAAAAATATGTTGCGTCGGCGTTATTATCACACAATGTTCTAGTTCCGGCACCAACGATCCACAGGGGATCTCCTAGCTTACGTCACTCACTTGTGGAGTAAACTCATCCAGTCTTATGGTGAGGCTCATATCGTTGCTCTTCACATCACGAAAGCGTTCGATCAGCTGTGGCACGCTACCCTCTTAAGCAAACTTCCATCCTATGGCCTCCCAGAAAAGCTTTGCAGATGGGTGGCTGACTTTATCTCTGACCGCAAGATATCCGTCGTAATTGACGGGTTCTCCTCTTCATCCCACAACGTCAACGCGGGTGCTCCCCAGGGATCGGTCTTGACTCCGACACTGTTTCTCTTACATACCAACGACCTGCTTTCCTGCATGATCAACCTTCGCTGATGACAGCACTCTACATGCAGGAATACAGAGTGTCAAGCCGATCGCTGCCGCTGAGTTGGAAAAAAGAAGACAAGCGATGACTTCCTCTCTGACAAGAGACCTGGAGGCTGTCACTGCTTGTGGACGCAACAATCTTGTACAGTTCAATGCTTCCAAAACGCAGTACTGTACTTTGACGAACAAAAAGCGTCCCTGCGCTCACCCGGTTTCGATGGATGGTCGAGTTCTGCCAAAGAGCCATTCATTTCGGCTGGTGGGAGTCCAGATCACAGAGGACCTGATCTGGCACGAACACATCTCGTGAATAGCTGCAGCTGATGGGAAAAAGCTACGCTATCTGTTTAGGGCTAAGAAGTACTTATCTCCGCATGACCTTCTCACTCTATACAAGGCCCAGATAAGGCCTAGCCTCGAGTATGGCTCACACGTTTGGGGTGCTGCCGCCCCGACTATATTATCCATGCTCTCCATACTCTAACAGACTGTCTCGGGACTCTTTCGCACCGGCGGGCTGTCGGCGATCTAGCTCTTTTACTACCGTTACACCAACAGGCTTTGCTCCTCAGAGCTCTCTTCCATGATGCCGTCGCGCGATGTGCCTGCCAGACAGACCCGCCTGACATTGGCGTCCCATCCTAACCGTGTCGAACTTCGTACATCCACAATTTCTTTGGGATCATCATAGCAGCCGCGGTGTTCCGGCATTTAGGCTTCTGCCTGCGCGGCTGCTTCGATATAAAAAAAAAGTTCGACTGGATTCGAAAAGCAAGACCAGACAGCTTGACGCTGATTAGTTAATTCAAACCGCTCGATTAACAGATTCAGCGTTAGAGAGTGAATAGGCACGAATCCCCAAGGCTAACATACAGCAAGGTGCTAAGCGAGGAAAATATCTTCTTTTTGGGGGAGGTTTATATTGTACCAGAGCCGATCTCAAATAGGATCTCGTTCTTCAGCCAAGGTGCTATAAATTGAGCTGCTATGAAGCAAATTAACCCTATTTAAGGTCGGGTGGCGCAAATCGCCATTTCTCGCGGCCTCATCAAACTGAAAGTTTGCACCGGAGGCACTTCGAGGTCGCTGCCAGTATATCTAACTATTACCCAATCTTGTGGAGGCGGCACAAGGTGCCATACTAAGTGAAGGGTGAGGTCACTATTAAAATCGTCCCAGGCTTCCAGCGCGGCCTCGCAAGTCAAGTTCCTGGGATCACTGTTTAAATTAATACATTACTTAAAGTTGTAATTTTGCGCTTTAACGCTTACATTGTATAAATTATTATACCGCTATTGTCCGTTGCCAACTTCAAAAGAAGATTTTCATTAAAAATGTGAAAAGAATTTCGTGACCCTTATCAGCAAACAATACCGTTTGATGAAGGAGTGAAAGGTTGCCTACAGCCACCCTTGATTCGTCGCAATGTTACGGACTACCTAAACGAGCAGTATTGTTGTACCTAGTAAGTATTTGACTTTCACTATGGCAACTATAGCCCAGCCATTATAACCATATTGAACATGGCCCGGATATATATCATCGAAAGTTTGGGAAATCTCGAAACTGGAGGTACCACAGAACAAAATATGTGAATTGACCTAAACATACCCAGTCCAAAAGTTGGTAGTTTGCGATATACACGGTGTCAAAGTTACAATTTTATTTTCTATTTTTCCTTCCAATGCATCATTATTTGATTTGAAGTTAAAACATTTTTATAACATAATAATCAAGTTGCTTTGGATAATATCTGAGTTGTGTTGCTATGGTTTTTAACAATAACAAATGAGGATGGCAACAAAACTATTAAATGGAAATAATAACTAAAAAAATTGTTCAAAATGAGCACCACCTTGCCTAACACTTCCTAATCCCTGCTACACTCTCCAAAGCATTTGGATGTTATTTTTCATTTCCTGGCTATGGTGGAAAATTCTTTGTCGAAGACCAACTTCAGTTTCCACTGGTGTATTGTAAACGCGTCATCTTAAATCACCCCAGAAGAAGAAATCTATAGGATTTAAATCTGGTGATCTAGGCGGTCACGTTACAGGTCCTGATCGACCTATTCACTGGTCTGGATAAACTCTATTTAGGTGCTCTCTAACTAATATGCAATGTGTTTGGTCACAACATACCGATATTTAAGGGGGAGTATTTTTCAGCTATTTTTATCGACAAATCCACCTCCCTACAATGACCTACCTCACCCCCCTTAAAATGGTAGCCATTTTTATTTTACGTTACGATTACGCTAGTGCGTGTATGAAAATTGTAATAACTGAGAACATAAGAGTCACAGAATGATAAATTTGGTGTCAAAAAAGTACAACTTCACAAAATAGTTTTTGAATGGCGTGCGGAAATGCACAAAATAATCAATTTTCTTGCATATTTTTTTCAGGTTTTGTCTGTTTTTAAGTATGTTTGACGGTTAGTATCAATACAAGTTTTTCAACAATCGCTAGAACAACATACCATTTTAAGGGGGGTGAGGTAGGACATTTTAGGGGGGTGGATTTGTCGATAAAAATAGCTGAAAAATACCCCTCTTAAATATCGGTATGTCGTGACCAAACACATTGTATATACTAACATTAGGTGGAGCGCCGTCGTGCATAAGCCACATATTCATGCGCGTTTGTAATGGAAGATCTTCCAGCAGAGTGGGTAATTGTTCTTCAAGAAATTGTAAATACCTTTGGCCATTCAGTCTAGGTGGGAACTCAGCGGGTCCTATTAGATATTGTCAAATTATTCCTGCCCATAAACTAATTTGAAATTGTACTTGTTGGCGGGTTTGTATTATTGCATGAGGATTTTCGTCTGCATAAATATGAAGATTATGTGAGTTAATGGGTCCATCCCCTCCAAATCTTGCTTTGTCCGAAAATAGTATTACCGAAGTAAAACCATTGTCGTGGTTGAGCTTCCTTAAGAACCATGTGCAAAATTCCACCCTTCCGGGTTCATCATCCGCGCTTAAACCATGTACGAGTACGGATGGAGCAGTTGCTCTTGAAAAATGATATTAACTGTACATTCTGAAACTCTCGAAATTCTCGAGCTACATTCATAACCTCAACTGTAAGATTTTCAAAGACAGCATCTAAAACATTTTCTTCAACTTCAGCTGTACGTACAGTTCTGGGAGCTCCAGTATTTCGGCCCATATTTTGAGCAAAACTTCCTACAATCCAAATGGTTTTTACTACTCAAAATAAGGCTATAATCATTTCTTGCCAATTTCTCGTAACCGCTGATCGATTCGTTGGAAAGTCTTTGAATCAGACAGGTGTCTATTAGGGGATCTGTCAGCGTACAATCTTCGCGCTTTTAAAGCATTACATTCTGCCAATCCGTACATTAAATGAATATCAGGATACTCATATTCTCCATGATATTTAACAACTTATTGTTAACTTAAAATCATTCATGAAGCTCAAAGCAATATTATGACGGACATTAGAAACCATAGCAACGCTACTCATATATTATCCAGAGCAACTTGATTATTATGTTATAAAAGTGTTTTATTATCATGGCACAAATAATGCATTGGAACTTTCAAAAACAAACATCTCGACACTGGACACTGGACACTTCTAACAGGTAAACCTTTTTTGTTGTGGAAATACGAGGAAATAAGATTTTTCGGTCAGTTGTTGTATACAGGGTAGCACAAAAAAGTTATGATGAGTTATTTACCGAAATAGTGCTGTAAGTGGCGCCCTCTAGAAGTTTGGCCATAAAAATAACGGATTCTTATTTCTCATACTAGAAAACCTCCCTATACCGAGTTTTATGCCAAAATCTGAAACATTTATCAAGCAATAAGGAAAAATAGAAAATAAAATTCTAACTTTGAGACCCTGTATCCCGCAAACTATCAACTTTTGGACTAAGGTATATTAAGGCCAATTCACATATTTCGAGATTTCCCAACCTTGCGCAGTCACCCTGTATAAGCTATATGTTAGCAATATTTTCTGCAATGTGCAAACACATACACTTTCCAGAAGTCCTCATCAAAAGGGCTGCCAAATCAGGCAACAGTGACTGACGAAATTGTACGCATAGCTAAAATACATTACTTACGTTACGTTAAGTAGGATTTTGATACTTACTACTAATATTACAATAATATAAGAAGTTATATCGAAACTTTCAAACATGTGTAGCAATATAGTCGAACCTATAAGCTGACCTTTATTGCAGCCAGATAATGTAGTAAAAATATTGCCCGTTAAGAAGTACCATTATGACGAAATATCTGAATACCTTGAATCAGACGGATATGCAACTAACATAGAAAGATTCGTTTTCTAATTTGATTGGAACTCTGTACAACTCACCCGTAGAGACAATGTGCGGCAGTTAGAAGCCAAGTGGGAGAGATTATGGAGGCTCCACAGTTAAAACTGCCATCGACTATCAGTCCTACTTGGTGAGGATGATTCTCTATTTTAGTGTCATGTCCTCCTATGATCCTTGGACCCAGCTTTAGAGGTATGAGTGCTAGTGATTGGTCTATGCTACCTACAGAAACAACTTATACTAGATAAGTTATGAAAAAACCAACTGAGTCGAATTGCAACGATATGTATACTAAGTGACATATAAATCCGAACACCCAGTTTAAATGGTTTTATTTTAATAAAGGTTGGTGAATGTATTTATCTTACTGTAAATAACAAGTGAAAAAATTTTCAGCCTTATCAGTTGGACATTCCGGTTTTTATACTGCTTTTTTTTAGTTCACTAACGCTCTAAAAATGAATATTTCAGCCGCAGTAAAGAATCAACGTTGGCGGATTTTGGTTCTTGACATCCTTTACGATCGGTTACGATGCCTAGAGTACGGAGACCTGTACGATTTCGTCAACTTAGTGAGTTTTATAGAGGCCGTATAGTGGGACTTCGGGAAGCTGGACTTTCTTTTCGGGCAATTGCAGTTAGAGTGCAAAGAAGTGCAGACACTGTGGTTAGGTGTTGCCAGGCATGGCTTCGAGAAGGCCGTACGCAAAGAGCAAGGGGCACTGGACGCCGCCGTAGAACAACAGACCGTGAAGATCGCCGCCTAAGATTATTGGCCTCAAGGGACCGTTTCTCCACTACCATGTCCATTGCAAATGACTGGTTTGCAGAACACGGAAGACGTATTGGCATGCGAAGTGTTTACCGACGAATGAGAAGTTTTGGCTTGTTTTCATACCGGCCACACTGGGTCCTACCTTTAACTCGAGAACACCGACGTAATCGCCTTGAGTGGTGCAGAAAACGGTCACTCTGGGATCAGGAAAGGAACAGTATTGTTTTTAGTGACGAGTCTCGATTTTGTTTAGGCATGCACGATGGTCGTGCCAGGGTTAGAAGGCGACGTGGTGAAAGGAGGAATCCACAGTTTTTTGTTGAAAGACATGTTCATCACACTGTTGGAGTTATGGTTTGGGGTGCTATAGCTTATGGTTCCAGGTCACCTTTAATCTTCATCAGAGGTAACATGAACCCACAGCGTTATATCCACGAAGTTCTAGAACCCCATCTTTTACCCTATCTTGACACCCTGGCAGATCCAACTTTCCAACAAGATAATGCTCGACCACATGTTGCAAGAGTCACAATAGACTCCTTTCAACATAATGATGTCACATTGTTACCATGGCCACCAAGATCTCCCGACTTATCCCCAATTGAGCACGTGTGGGATATGATGGGTAGGAGATTGCTCAATTTGCAACGTCCTCCTCAGACTCTAGAAGCACTTCGAGAGGAGTTGGTGGTTGCCTGGAATGAGATACCACAGGAGGACATTGACCACCTGATCAGAAGCATGCCTAGGCGCGTTGAAGAATGCGTAGCACATCAGGGTGCATCCACACATTATTAAAGGTCAAAGGGCTTTAAAGCAGTGCAATCATTTTGAAATTTTTATCATTTACTTATTATGCTTCATTAAGTACTCATACAAAATTTTATTAGAATAAAACCATTTAAACTCTGTGTTCGGATTTATATGTCACTTAGTATATAATCCAGCCACTATAAACATATGCCATATGCATATGGTCCAGCTATATTTATCTAATCTAGATCAGCTGCATTTTGGTAATATTGTCCGCATTGGGTAGATACATAAATTCTTCATATTTTCTTATCAGAAGCGTTACAAAATCAAGCAAGCATGACTGACGAAACTATATGAAAACAGCTTGGAAATGTCAAACATGTGTAGCAATATACATAGCCGGGCCATACTGCTGTAAAATATTACCCGTTTATAGACTCTATTACATTTACTAGAGTATTACAAGGCATTAAAAGAAATTTGTGTACATTTCTACGTTTTGACATCCCATAGCCATCTCAACTTGTTGACAATTCTCATATATCAGTAGTGTCACTCACCTGATACAAGTAAACATACTACCAGAATCTGAATCATTTTTCACAACCAGCTTCATCCAAATAAACTATAATAATAATGTAAATCCAACTCCGCTTTCGTTATTAATATTTTTCGAGAATAATAGAAAGTGCTTAATAAATTATGTATTGCTACTCAAGAAGAATCAATCATATGTTTTAAGCCTATAAGGAGAAAAGAGGATTATTCCAAAGTGATTATTCTCAGTGGATTTCAATTGTAACTTTACACAGTGGCGTTTCTCCATTTTTTATTCTCGATACGCTTATAAAATAGTTAATTAATATTCAACCGATTTCAGGTAAATTGATATTATCCAACCAATGAAACAAACGCAACAATTGATTTTATGTTTAAAAAGTGACTCGATCTAACATGTTCTTTACGAACTCTGGACTTTGGTAAAGTGGCCCCAAAAGTCCAAGATTCCAAGAAGAAGAAATGTAACCACTTGGGGAGGTGTACAAAAGTCCGAAAGACGATGAAGACGAATGAAAATTCTTGAAAAGAAGCCATCATAACGGTCATAGTTCTGTGGCGAAGGAACAGTAATGTAACATGCCTCTGTTCCAGGCCGGCCCAATCTGGTTCACAAGCGGGAGAATCAAAAACTACTAAGCCTAAAATCTGCTGTCTGCTTTCGAGACGTACACAACGTATTCTTTCGGAATGGCGGCCGAACATTGTAAGGGAATAATTACGTTCCTCTTTCTTGAAAGTCTTTCAAAAACAACCAAACTCATTGAGGCCAAGTTCAGTGCCGAACAGCCATATCGTACGCATAACAGTTGATCACAAGTGAGGTAATGAACCAACAATAACAATTTCCAGAAACCATCATGAGGGCTATTCAACGATTGTGGGAAGAAACTTTGCTAATCGGGTAGGTATACAGGGTGTAAACGTTATGGTAGTCGTTATTGGGTAATAGGGGAGGTCAAAACAAGTCAAAAAGTTCATATCACCCATGGTCCGAAAGTCAATAGATTTTTGTCTAAACGGCTTTATAGTTTACAACTTTAAGTGCTTTATGTCGACCACAGACACCACAATCTTACTAATTTTTATAATCTAATCTATAACGTTAATAAATTGGGTAATTAACAAATAAATAGCAAGTTAAGCCAAAATTTGTAGTCAGTAAGTAAGTTTCATTAAACTAAATATTTAAAACACACATGACAACAGCGCGTCGGTCTTTCATCACTCTTATCGAACCGGCAATCGATCGCAAACAGTAACAGTGGTTAGTTATCGTTTTGCATAGATAAATTACTTTATCGTTTTGTCGATCAGAGCATCGGGCGTGTTGTTTTGCTTTTGTTCGCGTACGTCGTCATGTTTATTTACAATGTTCTCGAATCAAGAGTTCGCCGACATGTTGTTAGTTTACTGTGAAACTCGTCATAATTCAAATCTTGCAGCTCAAATTTATCGCGACAGATTTCGCCAACGGGTACACCTAGACAGAAGGACATTTGTGCAAGTGTACCAAAGACTTCGAGATACAGGAAGTGTTCAGCCCACTGATATTCGCACTCGTGAAAGACAGGTTACTGTAGAGCAGGACGAACAAATTTTAAATATCGTGGAAATTAATGCAGATATCAGCACTCGGGAATTAGGCCACCGCGTAGGACTATCGCATATCATGGTCCATAGAATCCTACGGGAAAATTTGCGTTATCCCTACCATGTACAACGTGTGCAGGCCTTGTTACCAGAAGACTATCCTCGCAGACTAACATTCGTGAAGGTCATTTCCAACAACATTTTACAACAAATATGTGGGCGGGTATTCTTGACGATCAGGTAATTGGCCCTTTCGAGTTACCCCCAAAGTTGTCAGGAGAAGGATTACTTAGCTTTCTAGCCAATAACCTACCAGAACTTCAGGAACAGACCTTAGACAACATGCCATTACAACGGAGACAGAATTTGTGGTTTCTTCATGACGGGGCACCACCACACATTTTTAGAGACGTCATTCAGTATTTGAATGAACATTATCCAAATCGTTGGATCGGTCGAAATGCTCCTGATCCTCGAAAATGGCCAGCAAGATCTCCTGACGTCAATCCGATGGATTTCTGCTATTAAGGAGAAGTTAAAGGGATGGTTTATGGGGCTAGTCCAATAAACTCTGAAGCACAACTTCGCGAAAAAAAAATTTATGCGGCTGAAATAATAAATGTACAACTTCTAGGACCTAGAGTAAGAAGAAACTGGGTTCGTCGTAATGAGACTTATGTGGAAAGTGGAGGATGACATTTTGAACTCCTTCTTTGAATACAAAAAAAGTGCAGTGTGGGTTTTAAAAAGAAAAACAACGTATGTATCAAAATTGTGTTCCGTATTTATAAGTGGATTATTTTAATACGTTAAACTTTCACATACCAGGTGAAGCGCTGAGACAATAAGTGGTAAGTCCATTTTTTTTTAATTGTTTTCATTTTACGAGTAAATTATCAAATAATGAAATAATACCTAAGAGCCAAAAATAACAAACTCCATCTTTATTTACACTGCGTTCCGTCGTAATTTGCGTCTTGCATTACGGCGTTGTCAGATTTTATTTTACTTTAAAGTCGTTTATCTCTAAAAAATGCCGTTTTGACACCCATGTTATATGAAACTTTTGCTTGTTTTAACCCCCTCTATCACCCATTTAAATAAAGACTATCGTAACGTTTACACCCTGTAGAAGTAGCTCAATCAGGAAACGCAAAGTTGCTGTGTTGCTCAGGTGCAGGATATCAGACCATCGGACTCTAGGGACGCAAACAATCCAGTAATCAACCACTTCATGATAAGTCTACCCTTGATATGATAGTGTTAAAATGACATATGGTTAATAGGCAATAAATTAGGAATATAGAAGAGTTTCAATGCATTTTCTTCATTAAGTTTTAATCAGTGAAATATCGTGAAAAGAACTATACATTTGGGGCCAGTGATGTTGATGCATTGATATTTCTAGTAAAGCGTGATTTTTTGAATGAAAAATTTATACTGGTTCATAAGTGTACGTCTATGTGTTGCCCTACAGCTGATCATCTGTACTTGTTACTACAATGCAAGGTGAGAAATCAATAAATCAATCAGAGTTCATAATCTACCGGATTCGGTGTATTAACCGATATCTTTCAGTTATTATCTTCAGTAATAAATGTAATCAATCATTATCAGCTTTACATACGCCAGAAATAGACGTTTCATCGAGATAAAAAACAGTTGATCTCATAACCCCATCAGTTTTGATGGTATTCCCAACAATTTTCTTGCATCCAATTGCATTTGAGGTTCCATGGTTATTAGACCTATAATAACCTATGGATCTGTAGCTTGGTGGGGCAAGGCAGCACAGATAACTGTGAGAGCCAAACTGAGCGCAAGAGAGAGAGAGAAGCTTGTATGTTGATCACTGGTGCCTTTCGTACCACACCAACTGCAGCCAGGAGGTCCTTCTTAATTTACCCCCTTGCACATATACCTGAAAGGCGAGGCAAGAAGGACATCTTATAGACTACAACATGTGGCAAATGGTATAATGGACAATATCACTGTGGAGGAGACGGATATGCTGGTGGACTTACAAAACCACCACAGTCTAGGAATGCATTCTAATATAATGCCAAAGATAATAAGATATGCTAAACCCTACTCAGTTACAATTTCACACAGGAATGAGTGGAGACAGCAAGTTCACCTGATAGGGAAAGATATCTGTCCATGCACAGATGGCACCAAGGCCGAGGTAGGTGTTGGAACTGATGTCTTCGTGCCGAAGCTAAAGATTAAAAAATCTGTTAGCCTAGGAACCTGGGCATCGATCTTCCAGGCAGAGCTATATGCTTTATATGCCAGAATGATAGCAGAACGACAACTGAGGCACAGAACTATAATTATTTTTTCAGATAGTCAAGCCGCACTTAAAGCACTTGACTCCACCTACTCGACATCAAAATTAGTGTGGAATTGCAAAGAAGCTCTCGGTGGCATAGGGGAGGGAAATGAAGGCCGTCTCATATGAATACCAGGACACACAGGTCTAGAGGGAAACGAGACAGCTGACACTCTGGCAAAGAGTGGGGCTAGCACACCCTTCATAGGGCCTGAGCCAGCGATTGGGATCGCATACAATACGGCTAAACAAACAATCTCTGCAGAGATGGACAGAAAGATCCATCAATATTGGGAGGGATTAGCAGGGTTAACCCATGCTAAGGCAACTATACTAATCTTGACAAAGAAGGTAACAGACTCTCTGCTGCGGCTGAACAGGAATAGCCTCAAAGCTCTAGAAGGGCTTTAGAGAAATTCTGGCGACATTGTAAGTTGATCATCACAGTGTTTGTGTATAAATGTGGAATAGAGTGAATTTAATTTTCTGAAAGTGCATCATCGTCATAGTTAACATCTAGTGTTGCCGTCTTTTGCTGGAATTCTTCAAACCTTCAAGTGCTCTAACTGTTCCCGTCAGGGATCGTCAATATCGTGTGATGGTTGTAATAAGGATGTACACCTCACTTGTGTAGGTCTCAGTGCTGATGAGGTAAGGGTTACTCGTAGTAAGTCCAAGTCAGTCAAATTTTTATGGAATAACTGTAGTAAGTTTATGGGCGAACTAGGTGATTTGAAGAGCTTATTGGAGACCCTTAAGAACGATTTCGCTACGAAAATGTCTGCTTTGGAGAATAAAATTAGTGAGCTTAAGGTTACCAATAGTTCAAACTCATCTGATTCCTCTGTACTTGAGGAGGTTGTTCAGGAAGTTCATGAAAGAGAAAAGCGTGAAAAGAATTTGATAATATTTGGCTTGCCGGAACCGGAGGTACTGATGGAAAGGAAAGACTGGCTTCTGATCAAGCTGTTGTTAAAGATTTGCTTGGGGCTGTCGATGGTAATTTTACTAATCTGGGCGTTAAGGTTCTGCGCATTGGAAAATTTAGACAAGGCTCGACCAGGCCAGTAAAGGCAATCTTTCACTTAGAGCAGATGGTTCATACTATAATCAAGAAGACTAGTACCCTAAAAAACAATGAAAAATATAAAAATACATCGGTTGATTTTGATAAAACTCCAAAACAGATGGAGCTCTATCGCTACTTAAAGGGCAAACTTAATGAAAGGATCGCGCAAGGTGAAAGTAACCTCAGAATTAAATATTTCAATGGGGT